CCCCAAAACCCCAAAACCCCAAAACCCCGCAATTGATTTTTTATGGGATTCAGGGAAATATTAAAAATTTAATCAAAATAAATACAGTCAGAAAACTCAGGAAAATGGGCATTGAAATTGATCTAGTACTTCTGAAAGAAGGAGAAGAAGTCAATAAGCACTTACTCTGTGGGATATGTTTTATGATCCTTGAGGATCCTGTTTAATGTGTAAATGACCTTTAATTGATAAATGTTTATCTAGTCATGCTGCCAAGCCTGTTTTTGTAAAGAATGCATTGAGATTTGGAAATAGAGGAAACATTAATGCCCAAATAGATGTGAAGGGTACTTGAAAACAGAGAATGTTCACAGGATAATCAGGTATCATAATTATTGACAAACTCATCTATATCTAGAAATATGGTTGATGACCTGTAAATTATGTGCAAGTACTTCAAAGAGGGGTGCGATAAGTTATTTAAAGTGGGTGAGCTAAAGCAGCATTCTGACACTTGCATTTATTATCCTTTGATTTGCCAAAATTCAGGGTGTGATTTCATTGGGGCTAGACATTTAATGAGAGATCATTCCTAGCAGTGTGAATACAAAACTGAGATCTGCTAGAAGGGATGTCAAAAAGTCCTCAAACAAAGTGAGATAATCAATCATAATTGCATTGCTTCACTTACAGCTGAAGTTAAAATGCTTAGAGCTAATGAGGAATTGCTTAGAGATGATGTAATAAAGCAGCAAGAATCTATCAAAGAACTTTCATGCGCTTTACAGCTGAAAAATTATATACATGAAAATATTGCTTGCTATGAATGCAATATGGATCCAATTAAGACAGATAGGTTTAAGTGCTAGCAGTGCTAGGACTTTGACATCTGTCTATATTGCTACTGTCGTGGCAGTCATCCAAAGACTCATAAATTTACAGTACTTGGTCCACTCGGGGTGGCAATCATTAAGGAAAGTGACGTGGCATACTTCCAAAAGCGAGGCTAAATCTTAAAGAAAGAAATCTTCTTCAGGAACATGGGTGAAGAGCTTGAACTCACTGTAAGACCTTATAATAAAGGCTTGGGTGGTGAAAATTAGCAATAGCCAGTTCACTTGTCAGAATTCCAGTCAACTTACATCTAAGTGCCTTAGAATGAATATGGAAGTGTCTATTTCCACTTTATCGTCTAGAATGATGATGGAAAGTATTCAGCTAAGTTTAGACTCTACTGCCGAAAGAGAAATGAGTACTTCGGAATGCCAATTACCATAAACTATCAAGTCTCAGGAGTGAGTGTATAACAATGATTAAAATATTTATTAGTTGGAGTTAATTTACTCAAGCCAAAATTTTCTTATTCGTGCTTTAAGGGGTTTTGGGGTTTTGGGGTTTTGGGG